TACGTAACACAGTAGAAGGGGTGTACACCAGTGGCTGCATAATAATGAGGTGAAGTGTCGGCGATTTGAAAAACGGAGGTTAGTATAGGACTAAGACGTAACTCGTCGTAGTCTGCATTCTGTTTTTTGCAGAACATAGACAGTACGGTGCAGTATATGACGCACTAGGGGCGAGATCTTGTGAGATAACCTTTGATCATGTGTAATTTAGCAAGAGAAGCCGAATCGAAGTGATAGCTGGGGCACCGAAAAAGAGTTGGAGTCGAAGCTGCTGAAGGGGTCTGAAGGCGAGGAGACTACCAAGGGCAAATTGTCGTTGTGGCAGCGATGGAAAGCTGGAGCAGATCCACCGAAAGTGATCGATCTCAAGTCACGTGAGTGTTCTTTTCGTTCAATACCTTTGAAATTTGTCAATTCCAATCCTTCATCAAGCATATTATTCACAAGATATTGGGTTTTCCTCAAAATTCGACTGGATTCCGACTGCACCTCTCCCTAGCGGTGTCCCTCATTCATCGTCCGCCATTATAAACAGGCAGCAGCTAAAATAGTGAATGAGAGTGGCCAAGTACGGCACAGGGCTATGCTGGCTGGCTATCAGTCAAAACTCATTTGACTTCCCGAACTTGGCCTCGGAGGGGCTGATTTTTCGTGTCGTGGGGGGGGGTGGTCACGAAATGATCACAACGGGGAATTTTTTCGAATAGCAGGCCTAGGAAGAAAATTAAAGCCTTGCTGGAAAGTAGAAATCTTCAAGCTTCCGGCACAATTCTTTTTTTACGAAAGGCCGTGTATGAAGCTTGCCATGGACGTCCAAAGCGTAGCGACTCGCGGTTCGCAAAAATGATCACAGACGGATCACAACGATGATCACAACGGGGAAAATCTCTGGAATCGGAACGTTTTTGAAATCGCTCAATTCAGGTGACAAGAGCCAACCTAGCTCTACTCATTCCCACTTACCCCTTTCCGAAGTGGATTGGGATTTATCTAGACCAGATGAGGAGGGTTGGTGGGCGAAGTGTCTTGAAGTTTTTTGTGAGGAAGGAGGAAAAAGTTTCAGCAATATTTTTTTAGTTCTTGGCCTAGGAATAGTTCGATAGTGCCTAGTTCTATTTATTGTCATCTACATCGTCCCTAAGTAATCTTAGTCATCTACATCGTCCCTTTTGAACGTTCTTTTACTTGTACGGTGTATCACACTTTTCACTTGTACCGTGTATCACCGCTCTCTCCACTTCAACATGGGCCATGCGTTTACGACCCCCCCTCCATCGCGGGCAAATACGACCCCCCGTTGTGATGATCACAAAGATGGCGTGCCCTGCTGTGAATAGGTACAGAAATGGCTCGTAGTCAAAGTGGTAGGATACGCGCCAGATCCTGATGTTGCGAACCGACCGAGCATGTGAGGGTGTGCAGTTGAGCAACTTTCTCCGCCATTCAAGGCCATGTTGAGCCACTAACAACGGATAGAAAAGGCTGCCGTGACTGTGCTTCAACCCACGTCCATTCACACTCCCTGTGGTTAGCAGGGAAAAGGACTGTGCATGCATGTACCATACAATCTTAGAGAATCATTCTCTCTTTCTTCACTTGATTGCGGCCTAGCCCACAGCTGAGAAGGCTACTGCTGTGGAGCAAGGTTCGGGGCTTATCATGTCGGTACCAGCAACTGTAATGGAATATATGCCGGCATGCAGGTAGGCAGTCACGCAGTTAATTCTGCTGTGGCCCGGGAGGGGCGGACTCCTCATGTCACTGCTGTGTATAAGCTCTCCTATAGCACATACTCAGGTGAAAAAATAACGCTTTTCACTGAAGAAATGTACCAAGGAATGAAGAAAAAAGTTGTGTGAGAGTTGTTTCAGGTATAATGTTCCCGGTTTTCTTCATCATGTTCAACATCTTCTACTGGACGTGGTATTCTTTCCTCTAAAATCCGAGCTCAACTTCACAGTTGAACCCACAAACTTTTACACCTTTGATGCATATGCCTTTGCCTAATAAACATATCAGATTAGAGAGCTCTGCAAGACTTTGAATGGAATTTTATTATGGCTTTCCAAGTAGCAAAAGTTGCCACAAACGAAGAAGTCGTCAAGATTAATGGGACATGTGCCCATGTTTGGCAGCTTCTCGATTCCACTCTTCTGATGCTAAGGTGGCCACGACGAAATGAAGAGATGGACCTGAACCTAAAGCGGACGTCAATTACCAATTTTTTTTTCTCTCTTTGGAATGCTAGGCTAAATTCAAAAGCAGGTCGCAGGTGGTGTAGTGACAAGTGATAAGTTATCCTCGTCCACAGTCGTCCATAGGCTCCAATGTTAGCCAACCAAACCTTCTACCCTTTGTGAGCCATATACTACTGCAGATTTGTTTGGAAGGATCAGAACACTGACTTGGACATCGGGTGAGCCCACAAGTCGTACATGTACATAGCTCGCATTGCCTTCAATAACCCAGTGCGATTTCGATTAACGGCTGAGACTTCTATTAAGTCTCATATGGAAACATGAACACCAGAAATTTCCATTGCGGCGGACTCTGAATATCTGAATGAGATGAATGCTAACTCCTTTGGAACTTTAAAGTCATTCGCATTAAACTTTTTTTGTGCTATGTTGCATGTTTTCACATTTTCTTTCGAATTAGGCTACAGGATAGCACGATACCACGCTACTAACCATAGCTCTGACGGATAGGCTGTGTACGGAAGCATTCCCTGATGGGACTTATAATATAATCAAGGAGTACGACCGTAGACCTATCGTCACAGGCAGGTGCGCGATGTGCTGCTGTATAAAAACGTAGGTTCGTTCGCATAGCTTCACACATCAAGAAGTCACACAACTGTGCTGTCCTCAGCTCTCCTTATCAACCGCTACGTTCGCCAAAAAGTCGCTTTAATACGACTCAGCTCGCTGCGGATGTCCGTCAAATGCTCTTGAAAATTCGCTGATCGTCATTTTGTCATTGACCAGGGAAGTCCGCCAACTTACCATGGAACTTTGAATGGAGACCTGGGTAGATCGATAGAGTCTATAAGGTTATTTACAAATATAGATAGCAAAACTGCAACCTGCATTTCACAAGCAACTTATGAGCAGGTAAAGTTTGTAATGGTGCAGTATGGTGGTGGAGGCTTGGTGGTGAGCTGTGAAGCATAAGCGAGGAATCGCATACGTCGAATCGAGTCGTGGTGGTTCAGTGGTAAGGTTCGACGTTCGACGACTCGATTCGACGTATGCGATTCCTCGCTTATGCTTCACCCTACTGCACCATTACAAACTTTACCTGCTCATAAGTTGCTTGTGAAATGCAGGTTGCAGTTTTGCTATCTATATTTGTAAATAACCTTATAGACTATCGATCTACCCCGTCTCCACTCAAAGTTCCACGGTGACTAAGTTGGCGGACTTCCCTGGTGAGCACCATGCCCTGAAGAAGAAAGCGGTGTTAGCGAAGACATGACTCATGACTTCTACAAATCTTGTGTTAATCTCTGATAGGAGCAGCATTCCTATCAGGTTGTCCGGAAAGTTCTCAGCGTTTTCGTGTGTTTCCTTTGAACGATCATAACTTTCTTAATACTCATCGGATTTAATCCAAATAAGCACCATTCGAATCAGCACACTTTTGCCAATGTGAAATCACTGAAAAATCCGGGTGGTAGAATCCACGAAGGCTTTTTTTGGATAGCCCTAATCGATGAAGTATTTTCCGGCAAGGAATGCTCTGAAAATGTTTGAAAAGGTGATAGTCGGTTGGTGAAAGGTCTGGAGAATATGGCGGTGAGGTAGAACTTCAACCCCCAATTCGTTCAATTTATGGATAGTGATTTGTGAAACGTGTGGGCGGGCGTTGTCATGCAAAAGAATCGGACCCTTTCTGTTGACAAGTGCTGGCTGCAGCTGACGCAATTTTCGGTACATTTCGTCGATTCTTCACAGTAGGACTCTGCTGTGACGGTTTGGTCTGGTGGTAAAAACTGTAGTGGATCACACCAGCCGATGACCACCAAGAGGGTTCGGCTTTGAAAATTACCTCGGTGGTTCGTCGGCATCCAACCACTGTCCGGAACGTCTCCTGTTATCATACATGATCCACTTTTCATCACAGGTGACAATTCGGTCCAAAAACGGGTCGTTTCTGTTGCGCAAAAGCAGTGAAGAAGAAACCTCGAGACGTGCCAATTTCTGCCGGTCACTCAAATTGTGGGGCACCCACTTGTCGAGTTTTTTCACCTTCCCAATGCGTTTCCATCCGCAACAGTGGATTTGCCAACGCCTAGCTTTTCTGCAATCTCTCGAACTGTTTGGGATGGGTCAGCCTCCAAAAACCCCTTGAAATCCTCGTCAGATATTGCTTTAGGTCGACATGAGGTCGCTATGAGGTTCATCTTCAAGGCTGAAATCTCCAGATTAAAAATTTGTCGAACCATTGTCGCACGGTGCTTTCTCCAACACTATTGGGCCCCACACCTGGTTAATTTGTCGAGCTGTCTCGACTGCGGATTGACCCAATTTTAGTTGAAGAAAAATATCGTCCGAAGTTGCTCTTTTGACATGCTTCAAAAATCCTGAGAAAGGGGGTTTATCAAGAAATGGTGAAAAGGCATTTGTACCATCAGATAGCGCAAAGAATTCTCTTCAGGATGTACTACTGAGACGCAAGGGAGAATGAGTTTTTAATCAGCAATGAATGTACAAAAAATAGTAACACAAAACGCTGAAAACTTTCCGGACATCCTAATACATTTGACCACCAAAAATCATACTGTTCTAACGTTCGTTCTTCTAACATACTGTTATGATATGCATATATATTATATTATTGCTTTCTCCTTGTGAAAAACATAGAACAAGTACTGAAGCAGTTTGAAAATGTAACTGAACAATTAAATGAATAGAGATCAAAGGCATCTAACACAACAATTCCTAACAAAACGCCAACAATAAAACAACTGAAAAAGATACAAGACGAGACGGAAGGAGTTATCGTCCGACATTCCTCGAGCTCCTCGGGTGCGGATCCTGATACTCCGCCTGAAGCGCCCATCATTTTTAAGTGCAAAATCTCATGGTCAAGATGAGTTCATCAAAACTTGACATTTGACATGCACATCTCCACTCCATTCAGAGAAGCAGGCGAAGATGATAACGAGAGAAAGAGAAAAGAAAAGAAAAAGAAAAGGTGAAAAAGAAAAGAAGAATACGGTTGAAAAAGTGGATCCATTAGGATGATGAAACCTTGTTGACAGTCCCTCTCGCTACGGCCACTAATGATAAGAGCAGTGAGGTGGTGGCAATGGCCCGCTTGCTGGGCGCGATCTGGGATCAATCGCTTAACGTCGGAACCAAGCAAGCTTTCTATCTTCCGGAAACGGACGATTGGTTTCAGATGCGTTGGGAAGATAAGATATTCGCTTTGCATATTCGCTGTCCCTCCCAAGTCACAGCATGGGCCAAATCGCATACCAGTAGCCGTTACGTACATTCTGAACTGGACTAAGGTATTGAATTGACAGTACAGAGATTGTAATCAGTTAGCAGCTCAGCCACTGATCTATATTAAAACTACCGATTCACTACGTTTCTGTTGAGTCTCGGAACTTCATATTAAAGGTACTGTCAGCAATAAGAATCGAGGTGGTGCTGTTAAATTGTGGAAGAGAACTTGTCAAGTGACTCATATGTGAAGAGGAAAGGCGAAGTCGGCAACGCCTTGATAGAGCCTCTTTGGCCTCAAAGAGTTGCAGGAGGGTAAACGCCCAAAGACCGTGTGTACGGGCAAGTTCACTGCGGAGTCTGGAGTGGAGTCACTGGAAAAAGGGAGGGCCACCGAAATGACTTTGCGCCTTATTGTCTCCTTTATCTCATGACTTTGCGCCGAGAAACTGACGCAGGGTTTTCCATCGTGGACCACACTACCCTTCACATGCACATGCAATCTCTTGCATTTTCGTAGGTCGCTACAGACTATCCCCTTGAAGAGATACGGAAAGGTATAGATGCATGTTGGAGAATCTTATTTATCAGCAACGACTTCTGAGCGCGTTGCTTCATTTCTGCGCTTTACAGTCGAAGAGAAAGTATACAGTATCTCCGTGAGTCCTGGTTATTGCCATGTGTAGGTGGATGGGTCCGCAGCTGCAGTAGCGTGCCACTTTCTCCAGTCGAAACAGGGCTAGAGGGTAGATGTGCCTGCAACGTCTCCATACTCCCGCGCTTCCGCGGCCAGCGATACGCCTACACCAAAACCCTGTTTGCCTGCACCCTCCCTCTCACTTCGAGTTGTTCACCACCGCAGAGTGCGTGTTTCGTTACGAGATCTCAGTATCGGCGCATGCGCTGCACTCGAGTACGCGAAGGCGGAGTATGGAGGCAACACTCGCACACCACTACCCTCCGTTCCCGTTTCGCTGCACTTTCGAGCGAAGGAAGGCGGAATTACACACTTAGTACAGAGAAAAGATCCAACTCCCAGGTAATCGCACAGTTTGTCTTTGAGACCAGTCAGAAGAAAATAAGGTCGAGATGTTAGTTAGAAACAGAAATCCATTGCGCAACGTACCTCATGGCGTTCTTTCTTGGTTGTTATCAAATTGGAGTTCGATATGACAAAGACTGGTTTCTGGTCAATGTGAGTCGCCTTCAGTCCACTCACGATGGGCAGATAACCTTTACTCATCAGATGAAATCGATCATGCAATGTCATCTGGAAGAAGAGATTCAGCGATTCAGAGCAAAAACTAGATACAATCAGAAATCATATTCTCGAAAAAACAAGGGACCGACTCCACGTCCTTAGGCGCATTCTCTTTAGATTTACGAATGACAGCTTTTGTATGCGCCCTCACCGAGAAGACTTGTAACTCATCCATAAAACTTCAGTATTGCTTCAAGTTCCGAATTTGAAGGCACGCTGAAGAGTCACCTAGAAGATGGCGCGGCGTGAGGGGATACAGTCTAATTCTCTGCGGGCGGTGAGGCGTTCCTCCGTCACGTTTGCGAGCGGTCCGACGACCGCATGTCGGTGGAATGTCGGAGGTAATTTTTAGCAAAACCCGTCCTTGAAGAAAAAAATCTGAAAAAAGTACTTCTGGATTGGGGCAGTAAAGGATGCCGAAACTTGCGACGAGCACGCCAATGTGGGAACATCAGATGCTTCCCAGCCAATGTGGGAACATCAGATGTTTCTCGACTGCATACCTTCCCATCAACCTCCGTTCCTCTTCATTTTCCTTAGTTTCCGGTTTAATAAATGAATGTACCTACCGAAGAAATTATTCTATGTCGCAACAGATTCTGGAGAAATTCCGCTTTTTCAGCACAGTGGATGCCGTATTCACCCGCTTTCGTCATGAATGGGATCTGCTGGAGCTCCACTTTTATATCTTGACACATTGCTGGAAATTCTTAATAAGTTATAAAACCTTTGCATTTTTGAAAATGACTTCTGAAGCCGTTTTACCCAGTACGTGGAGCACATACCAGCCAATTGGACGTATTCCGCGATTGCATAAGGTGGCACGGTCCCAATGATGTGCCACCTTCGCAGCTCCAACGTAATTAAAAGGTCGACCTTCACCTCGGAAGCACCCATCCTCCCTTCCCATTACATTTCGATTTGCCTGTATGCGAGCTCTCTGACCACTTCAACTTTTCAGCTACTGTCTCTTCGCTGTATATTTTATTGGGGCGCTTACCAAACATTTTTGTTCTGAATCGCACCACCCCAAGTTGTGATCGCAGACTGCGTCTTACCAGGAAGGCCGTTCAGGACGTGGAGCGCTTTTTCAAAACGGTTTGTTGCATGATGTAGGGGTAGGTCTATGATTCACAAAAATGGAGTTCATTTTTCCTACGCGGCTCTAGGAATACCATATGTGGACAGAAAAACAATTTTTAGAAACTGTGTTTTTTTTCATTTCCATTGTGTAACCTAAAGCTAAAATAGTTCACCAGTAGCTGATTAGAAGGCGTATGACAACAGCATTTCGAAAACCACCTGAAATACAGCCACGAGTAGGGCCTTACACCACATGGCCAGAGCTAGAAAGAGGATAAATGTTTTCTCAACCTTCGAACAATCATGCTGGCATGGCAATCGGATGGATGGAATTATTTTCAATCTCACAACAAGGGGTTACTGTATGGTTCGAGTCCGTGGTTAGTTTTTGCAATTTTCTTGATCTCAATATTCGTGCGTTCGGATATGTTCATGAATGAAAATAACACCGAAATGTTATTCTTGAGCGTCTTTATGCACTTTGAACTATAAGTAACAGTACTCATTCAGTAACCATACTGGATCCTCAGAAGAGCTTGAAGGAAATCCCTGGGAAAATTCTATCTATTGGGAGTAGCCAGGGCTGATTGCGTGGTCGTGGCCGATTTTTCATGTTGTTGGTGGTTTCTCTGAACATTTGCGTATCATTTCACGGGCACTATTCAACTATTACTACTCCAATTTTCCGAAAACAGGCCGGATCTTCATCGACTTTTTTCTACGAGGGCAGATTTCGCTGAAAGTTGGGTTATAGGGGTAATTCGACCTCCTGAACACGAATATCACATCCACTTGGTCTGAAAGTGCCTGGCGCCCGCGACACAGGCGCCGGCGCGAAAATACCCTAGGTCACTAAATCTGCTGAAAACTTGTATACGGAGGTTATTCGACATCTTGATTACAAATATCACACCCATTTTAGGCGCTGGCGCTGATGGACGACGCTGCGATTATCTGCGCTCTGCTGGAGGCTGGCCTGACCTAAAGGAAATCACTCTTTCTCCCAGGCTCAGCCTTAGAAAAGCGCTAAATGGCGCTGGCGTCGAAAAATAAATGTCGTATTCGTGATCAGGGCATCAAACAGCCCCATTATGCAGGTTTATCAATTTTGATAAAAAGGGTGTGGCGCCAAATCAGTGCCTAATGGCGCCAGATGACCTCAGGGCTGAAAACTAATTCGGTATTCGTGATCAAGACATCAAGTTATCCTACTATGCAAATTTACACCGAATTTGTGAGAAAGTGCGGTGAGCTTTTTTCCAAATTACCGCATTTGAACTTATGGTTACAGGGATGATTGGTGCTCTGATTATGAGTGAAATAAGATTAGACTATAGCACAGGAAAAAAATCATGGAAACCTTAGTTTCTGGAGCAGAACGAAAACTGCCCTCCTTCCTCTCAAGTTGATGGGAATTTCAAGTTTGTTGACGGAAAAGATCCGCTTTTTCTCAATAATAGTTTGAGTTCAACTTCCTACAGTGCATTATATCCTGAATAGTTCACGCTTTTGTAACCCCCGCAAGGTATATGCCGGCAAAATCGCCTACGACCGCTTTTTTCAGGTAAAGCGCGTCGAATATGGTGCGAGTCCGTAGCCGACTATGGCAATGCACTCAACCTCACGCCTAAATTCTTTTGTGAGCCACTTGCGCCCTACTGGACAATCGTTATTGTGCATTCACAAGCGTGCAAGCACACAATTAACAACTGTGATACAGCTCAACGAAGCAAGGCAAGTGAAACAGAGACACCTATCACACCAGCTACACCTTACAAAGAGCAGTCATTGTCTTCCTGGCAAGAAACAACAACATCGCCTTCGTTGAAGGCGTAGTCGATCGGAGTCAAGAATGATCCTGGATGCTCATCAACATATCCTGCGACAACTGAGGCGTATTCCAGGCATGGACGAAGCGTGGGTGCACAAAACTGGCGGTAGGTCTGGCTGATGATCTGCACAGAAAATATAATTTGAATGTTCAATTATTACTGCCAAAGAAATCTTACTTTGAGAACGTTGTCTCTGCTGTATGCGAAGCCGTTTTGGTAGTGCATTACATGGTCATGAATGCGGCGGATGTATCGCTTGAATAGACCGATGTAGGGTTTGCTGGTTAGCTGCGTCAGTGTCGGATGTCTGAAGAGTCCCGCGATCGCACGATTTATCGTTAAAGCACCAAAATCAAGGGTAGCCGGCGGCTCGAAGAGATAGTCGACTGCACTGAACTCACTGATCCGGCCGACCCCCTCCTTTTTATAGCATGAGGGCGGGGCCTATTGATTTCCGCCCGATCGTCTTCGAATCTTCGAGGATACAGAGTATAGTGATGATGTAATAAGACCGAATGGCTAGGATCGATCTTAGCAACATTGATGAGTAAAAGTGAAACAGCAGGAACAGTATCTCAAAACAATAACAGTAACAGCATATTGTATCTACACGCCGCTCCTCCAAGAGCCAGGCTTCGACAGCTCACTTCAGCTTCTTGTTTTTCCTTTCTGCTTCATGTAAGGTGCTTGGCGGTTCCTTTCTTCCTTCGCGTCTCGAACATACATCACGTGCGGCTTCACAATCTTGGCTTTCTTCTTCAGCTCGTCCTTCGTCGTCGTGTCGTGGCTGGTCGTTACATCGTCGGCGGCGGCTCTCGTTTTATCTACTCAGCGGCAAAAAAGATCGGCAGCGACAGCGTGCTCATGGCAAATTTCCGCACCTGGTTGAGGAACACGGTTATCTGCCATGGGTGGAACCTGTCGTCACCTCGTCTTGGGCTCACCCCCAGGCTCGTGGCAGGGTGTCCGAGGGGTACCACCGTGTCTATCGTTGCATACGCATCAACCATCCTTGCGCCGACGGCGGGTTCAGTGAGCACCTCCAAAAGCCTCTTGACTGCGTGCCACATCTCGCATCGTCGCTCCTCGTATGGTGGAGGGTACATGTCCAGCGTTCCTCCGCACTGCAGATGACGCTCCAGTGCATGCATCAGGTGATTGAGATGAACGTTGCTGGCATTTCGTTCGACCAGACTAGCACGATAGCGCGGAAGATCGAGCGTGCATTCAGCTGCGACGCGAGTCCATCAAATGTGGAATACACCTTCAATGCTCACTTTGTCGTCTTCCTCGAGATCCTTCTCCGCTCGAATAAACGACAGCGGTAGAGCAACAATCGTCGGATTAGCAGGCGAGTCGTCGTAATCCTTCGGAATCTGATCCAAACGTTCGAGTGCCTGTGCGTAGTACGAGTCTATATGATATCCTGGGAACGCCGGGAACAACGGCGGATGGACTATGCGCTTCCCTTGGGCGTTCCTCAGCGCTGTACTGAACGCATAACAGCTAGATCGATGAGCGGCAATCGCATGGGCGAGTCCCAAGATAGAGATGTTTCGATTCCTTGGCAAGTAGTTCTTCTTCCTTGCGTCGATCGCCCCAGAACGGATCGAGCACGATTGATGCGACGTTTGCGAGCTCGAACATGTTATTGACTGGCTTCGATCTTGCTAAGATCTGAGCGCAAACTCGGTAGAGCCGTCTGTGCCTTGGTGCGGAAGATGTTGCATGTGCACGGATGGAAGAGGTGCAGCGGATCATCCTAAGGCGGCCCGACGTCGACTCTGAAACGAAACGTGACTTTCAGAGTGAATTCTTTTACATTCCTTAGGTCTGCCCACTTTTCTTCTCTGCTCAGCACTTTGAAGTTTGAAGTTTGAGGCTGCTAGCCGGCAGCTCGAAGAGATAGTCGACTGCACTGAACTCACTGATCCGGCCGACCCCCCCCTCCTTTTTATAGCATGAGGGCGGGGCCTATTGATTTCCGCCCGATCGTCTTCGAATCTTCGAGGATACAGAGTATAGTGATGATGTAATAAGACCGAATGGCTAGGATCGATCTTAGCAACATTGATGAGTAAAAGTGAAACAGCAGGAACAGTATCTCAAAACAATAACAGTAACAGCATATTGTATCTACACCGAAAAAAGTACACATCCAATGGCTGACAGAGGGCAGTTGCTCCCGCAGGAATTGTCATTAACCGAAGTTCTTTCCCTTGGGGCACCTCTGACAACACATTGGTGTGATCCGTAAAACCGGCCCAGCTATCGACAAGGAGTATAGTGAATGGAGGGGACGAGGACCCAACCACGCACTCCTTGACGAAAAATGGGACATGCGACTTCGTCATTATGTGCGACTTCCCAGCCATCACTAGCAGGTTGCTTGCCTGCCAATGCCCTTTTTGCGGGAAGACTCCTCCTCTTTCGGGGAGGATAACAAGAAGTTTGTCCCCAAGTCGCCCGTCGGCATACATAACGGGCACCGCAGTAAAGGAGTGTGTAAGTGATGAAGTGGATTGCACCACTCTCATCACCTGTTTGGTGCCGCAGGGAGCTAGCGTCCTGTAACAAAGAACTTATGACACATAAGAGGCTACCTGCAGAGCGTACCTTTTCGAAGTCATTTCCTTGTTTATCCCAGTCTGATCTGTGTTGGCAATGCAGATAAGGGATATCTTTCATTTCCTCCCTTACACGATTCGAAAAAGTGGACTGCCTCTACTTCCACGTCCCTCCTGTTGACGAAGATCGCGTTTTGAGACGAAGCGCGTTACTCT